CATAACTTTGTTTTAGTTATGTTTTAACTGACATAACTGATAATCTTACTAACATGATCTGATTACAAATGAGTGTTTTCCAACTATAACAGTGAAATTCAACTCTTGAACAAAACCACTTGCTGGATATTGACATTTCTTTATACATTTTGCATATTGAAGTTACAGGACCCACTGGATGAGGATGGAAATTTCTTGTTTTGCAGTAGGTTGGTAACATGTTTCTTTCATGTGGGATGACAGAAGCGCAGCTCTCAGCATTTTGGTTTTCCTGGTACAGTTATTGACATGAGTGAAAATGTGCATACACAGGTTTGAGAAAATGAACGCTGTCAAATCCATTGATCAAATGTTCAGAGAGATAAAAGTTGAAGACACTTTTCAATGCAGTAAGACAGACAGCTGTGAGTCTCTAAATCAGGAGTGAATGGTGAGCCCTATATGACAAATTCTCTGTTTTATTACAAATTATTAATCCTTCTCTTTTTTACAGATGTTTGGGGGCTTCTTTTTTTTTTTTTTTTTTCCCTAAAGCTCTTCAACATGCACACATTCCTATCTTCCACCTCACTCTCCCAAATGCAATCATCTCTGTGTGTGATTGACCTAAGTGATCACCATGGTTTCCAAATCAATTCAGGTCCCCAAAGAGGTCTTTTAATTAAGAAGCTCTAATAGAATCTCAGAGAAAAGTTCTAAGTCCCCAGTATTCAGGCTGTGAGCTACAGATCCCAGGGGTGTCTGTGGCCAACTAGCACAAGACCCTGAACATGTCCTTTGTGGAAAGGTCATATTGTATGCAGGAATTTGTGTTAGTGCATCTTACAGATCTAGACATCCCATGGAAAATTCCAGGGGATCACACAAAATTGAAAATTTCTGAAAATTTCTATAGTAGGCTGCTGTTGAGCAGTAGGTACTGACGAAGAGAGGTGAGATGGAAGCAGGTGTGCACAGAAATGTCTTTATATGAAATTCCAGCTGCAGTTTGTGCTCAGCCTGTGTGAGGTGCTGAGCCTCACTCCCAGTGCTGCACCCACTGACCCCGGCTGTGCTTTGCTACATGTAGAAGTGCACTTGTTTTGGCAGCGGGACCCAGACTATTTCAGAACCAATTTCTACCCAGAAAAAGCCAACTGCAGATTTTAATCACCATCACTGGCACTGCAGAGGTGTGATTTCCAAAACTGCTGGGGAGTGGTCTCTATTCATTTCAGTGGGGCCAATCCCAGGTTGTGTGCACAGCTGTGCAGAGCAGCACATGCTGATGTTTACTCAGCAGCTGGTCCTGTTCTCCAGGAAACCACCTGTGCCTGATGCAGTGTTTGGTCATGTTGTGCACAAGCACTTGAGAACATTTTCACACTATGGTGTCTAACTCCAGCATTAGACATGCAGAACAAAAAGTGGAATGGAAAACACTGCTGAACTCTTGCAAGCACGGCACTGGCTGAAAAGTAAAATTCCAGAAAACTGAAGCCACTTATAGAACTTGAGATAATTTTGATGAATAGTTTTTGGCTGGAAGACAAAAAGAAAAATGTTCTGTGTTGATTGTTTACGATTAAACATCTTGAAGTTTTGTTTCAAAATGCTCTCCCTTCTGGCAATTCTCTCAAAACTTCTGGTCATATAAATCTCAGTTACTGAAGATACTGCTGGAGGAGTCCTGTCAGAACAATGTTTTGTTTAATTGGAAGCTTTTTAAAGCTCTTTATTTAGTTGAAAATCTCTGAAGTTTTTCTTAGGAATGTAGCTTGAAATAATTTAAATTTTTTTTCAGCTTATTACTTCTCTGTTAGCCAGCTGATTAGAAAGGACTTTGCAAGTACCCAAGAGGGGATGATGGGAGAACAGAGAAAAAAAAAAACAAAAACCAACAGATAAAAGCTTTGGCTGTGATAACTCACCCCCTTGGCACAGCACTACTCCAAGGCCAGACCTGGACCACTTGTCCAGAGGAACCTGGTGTCCAAGGTACATTCCTGTACCTTGTAATTGCACCAGCCTGTGCCTGATGTGGGCCACTCTGATGAATTGTAGAAGTCATTTATAGTGCATTAATATAACAAGTGAGTGGAAACTTCCATTAACTCCTCCTCCACAGAAGAGATCTTGAAAGAAAAAGGGGTTTGAAGGAGGGCTGTGCCGTGCTGTGACACGGGGATGGGAGTCAGGGGTGGGAGGCAGCCTGCAGAAGGGAACAGAGCCTGAGTCACAGTGAAGCACCCAGTTCTGCACAGAGAAACCAACACCCCTCTCCTGGCTCCACTCCTGGCACAGTTGGTCTTTCATCTGGTGAAAAAATGGGGATGAAATACCTCCCTTGCTACCCTTCGGAAAACACTTCAGTATCCTCAAAGGGGATTTAAAAGCAGCATCATTATAAGTGGGAAATGAATTGCTCTCTTGCTGGATTTAGCAGCTTCCTGTTTTGGAAACCCGAGATACCATCTCAAATTTCTGTTTGTTGTCAGGCTGGAAGAAGAGACTCAGAGGCTGCGAAGCCTCTGGTGAGGCAGCGCTTCATTTGCTAATTGTCTCTGCCAGACAATGCCATTTACACTGGGCACAAAATCACCTCTAACCTATAATCACTTATATCCTTAACTCCTATCCTTTTGAAATGGTCCCCAGCACTGCAAACCCAGCTGTGTGTCAGCCCCTCTCACTGGACAACAAAATACAGGGATAATTATTGCTGATTCATTCACAGACATCCTGGTTTCCAGATATAATTACAATATCATAAACAACTGCATTATAAAAAAAGATGTCTGACTTGTCATGAATAATGTAATGGAGCCTTTCTTTGAGGACCATGCTGGCATCTGCCCAGAGCATGCCAGGGAGGCTCTGGGTGCTGTGCTCTCTGGCTGGAGCGGGGTCTCTGGTGCAGAACTGAGATTCAGAGAGGTCTCTGCAGTCAGGAGGCTTCTTGGCATCTACTCCTACTCTCACAGACTGAGGTTTTTGCACGTTTCTGTCAGAAAAGCTGGTGAAGCTGGGCTTTGCCTCTGTGAGAGCTCCTCAGTAAGGAAAAGATCTCCTGTTTTACAGTTTTTATTGCTCTTCTGCTTTTTTAGGCCACGATGCAATGCTTGCCACTTTTACTGTATTAAATTCAGCTGTTCTGCCTACCTGCTTCTCCTCCTCCATTAGCCAGATGATCACAGCAGATCCATCAGTTTGAAATGGGATCAGACCTGAAAGTTGCAGCTCTGACACTCAGAGCAATGACCTGCAAGGATTTTTTTCCTCCATTGTTTAACACTTGCTAAAGTTGGAGCACTGAGAAAGCCCTTGAATCTTGCCCTTCAGCTGGTGGATCTGCAGGGATGTTTTGGCTGTGAGATGCTGCTCTTTGTTTTGGAGACAACACAGCACAGGAAACTGCCTTGACAGCCACAGCTCACTTAAATGCTCTCGTGGCTGCTACTGGCAACGCAATAAGCCAGTGTTGCCCAAGTCTATTTTCTCTAACACCAGTCTTTAAAGAGCAGGAGGTTCTTTTTCCTTTGTTGCAAAGACTGGTTCAGGCACGTCTAACTGGGATGTGACGTTTCCTGAGGGATGTGGTTAAAGACAAAGTAAATGTTGGTGCTTTGGTGACTCCACAAAAATCAGATTGCCTGAGATTGTCATGGAAGAGAGCATCTGGGAAGCAGCAATGCTTCTCATCTCTTCCCTTGGGAAGCTGATGGGACTGCTAAATATCAGGAACTGCTAAATATCTGGACCTCACAAGAAGCAGGAATATATTCTATGTATCCGAACATTCTGGTGTAGAAAGAAGTGGAGGTATGAATAAATTATTAAAACTAGATAAAATATATAATAAAATATTAAAATTTATTAAATTATTCTTAATGGCCTTTCAAGATTATCATGTCAAAATTATCACTGAAATGCAACTTGGTTCTCTGCAAGGGAAGAAGTGATTCTTTATAAAAGGTGGAGCTCCCAAACCAACTGGAGCTCCTTCCAGCAAAAAATGAGGGGGAAAAAGGCTTATTTTCTTCCCATTTCAACAGAAAGGGAATATTAAATGTCTGTGTGATGCAGAGAGGGTAGCAGGCAATGCACCAGCATTAGGTACCAGCAAAGATGAGTGGCCTCCTTCAGAGGGCACTGAACAATGAAATTCTCCAGCTTTTCCTGGGGCTGTTGCAAGCCTCCATCTGAGCTCCTTCTTGGAGAGGACATGGAAGCCTTCTCCCTCCCTCCCTCCCTCCCTCCCTCCCTCCCCCACACCAGTGTTTTGCTCCCTCCAGAGCCAGTATTTTATTCACTTCAATTTTCAATTTTTAAGACTGTATGAGCAGCTGAAGGACTTAAATCTGTTATTTCACCACAGAGGAACCTCGTTCTGCCTGAGTTATGCTGAGTACACTCATAAACCAAACCAGCCACAGTTATGAAGAAATGTTCTTCAAAAACCTCATCCTTAATCTCATTTGAGTATGAAACTAAGGGATAGGCCTTTTCAGCAGGCCCTCTTAAAACCTACCCAAAAGATGAATGTGTAAATGCACAGAATGCTCTGGAAGCTCTTGAATGGAGACATTTTATTTCCAAATAACCACAGGAGTAACTGTTTGTAGCAAAAAAAGATGATTAATGGCATTGTGGCCAAAGTAAGGTAAGTCCCTAAACTTGACAGTATTTGCATATTACCTTGATGTTAGAGTTTCTCACACTACCTTTGTTTATTTTTACTGGATGAAGCACAAGAAAAGCATGATGCTTGCTTAAATCTCCTCAAATCCAAACATCTGAAGCTACATTTCTCCATTTTCCTGGCTCTGTTCCTCTCTAAAGGCATGCTGCTTGCATGCTCACTCTCGTTTTTCCCATGAACTACAGGACGTAGGCCAAAATACCCTTTGCAACTGGTAACTCCTAGGCACACTGGGTTCCAGTTAATATAACAACTGGACATTTCATCATGCTTGAAGCATCTGTGGCATGAATAAAATCAGCAGGAAATATAAGGAGCATTTTTTATTTTTCACAGGGTCAATTTTATTAAATTTGGTGGAAATATCATACAATGACAAAAGAAGTTAAGTTACATGGAAAACTGATTCTGACACCCGTGACAGCAGTATCAGAGTGGCATGTAGGACATGCTTGGATGTGCAAAGGCTGAGCACCTCTCTGTGCACTGGCTCAGGGAGGTTCTTTACTCGTATCATCAATGCAATGGTGCAGCATTGCATTCCCAACAGTTGTTTAAGCCACTGACTGGCATGTGTTTCTGTGGGAAAACGAGCTGGATCTTTTAGGATCCTGGGAACCTGCCTTGGTCTGCTGGAGCTGAAGGCACAAGCCAGTTCATTAGAAGCAAAGTTGGAGGACCCATCATGGCAACTGCCGAGTCAGTGGTTACCTCCGCCCCTGACTGATGGGCGATTTAACTTTCCATTTCTGGGAAAACAACCTGGGAAAACAACAATCTGATCATGCACTGATATCCTGCAGCACTGAACAACACTCAGCAGCAAGGAAACCCTCCCTTGGAGCCAGGCTTAGTCTGAGGGTCACTGAGCCAGCACAAGGGACGGGTGTTTGGCCAACAAACCCACTGGGCTGGTGGCAGATGGGTGCCACAGCCGTCCCTTGGGCACAAAGCAGCTCCCCTTAGCCAAATAAGGAGGGAGAGGCATCTCAGCTCCACATGCCCATGTCATGATTGTCAAATATGCCTGTAATACAACTGAGTCAGAGGGAATTATTGCTGCAGCACAGTTGCTTTGGGAAGCCTTCTTCTTGTAGGCTGAATTGCAACTATCAAATCTCTGTTAGTTTGGTTGAAAAAAGATCATGGCAGTGATGTCTTCTCATTACAAAGGATTGTTTCCCACTCTGCTGTCATTAAAAAGAAATACAAACTAGCCAAGCTCATTCTTTACCAAGGCTCCCTGAAAATGGAACATTTTTTTGACAAAATAACTGTAATTCAAACTGCAGCAGCCAGCGCTGTGCCTGCTTTGGTACCTAGCCAGTGAATTTACAAGTAAACACCCTCCAGGACTGTTCTCCATTTGGATTTATTAGTCATTACCAAGAAAAGATAATTAGCACTTCTGAAGCATTGTGATAATCAGCAGCACGAAGTGTTTCCCATAGAAACGGCCGGGCTCCGTGCAGGATCCGCAGCTCCGCTGCACTCCCGGTACGGAACGAGCACACGGGTGGGCAGAGCTCAGCTGGGAATGCTCCCAACCAACTGCTCCAGGGGTGCTAATGACACTGCACACAGGAGGAGGCAGGGAGGGGAGCTGTGCCCTGGCCTGTTGGGCTTTTCCTTCTCTTATCCTGGAGGCAGAGTCACTTTTGTTACAATATGCAATCCTCCTTGTTGGTCAAAGGCAACGGCACATACCTACCACTTCTTTACTGCACAACAGGAAAATAGAAGGTAATTATTTTTTCTTTTTGCATGCACTCTGCCAAAAAAATGGAAAATAACCTTGTGGTAGAACAAGAGGAGCGTGATACTTTAGGCAATGATGTGGGCTTTTTATTGTCCTCTTTCAAAATGAATGAATGACAAAACTCTGTTAAGACTAAAGTCAGTGCTAAAAACTTGCAGAATGGGTTCCCCAAAGTTATTGTTCCCCAAACTTCCATTACTTATGATCTCTAATAATCATATGAGAGATGGGATGTAAATCTTCTGTTCTTAAATCTCAAACCCTGAGCATTAAGCATGCAATACTCCCTGCCATGCATTACTGAGCTCAGGGAAGTCTATCAGATTTATCAACATTGCTATCTAAATAAATACTACAATACATAGGTTTTTCTGAAGCAATTGTCTTTGTTTTTCTGTATCTGGAAGTGTGAACAAAATCCATGCTGAGTGAGAGAGGAAGCATATAAGTTTGGGAAGTCTGCTGTTTTGATGAGCGTGATTAACAAATACAGCTGGAGGATTTACCCCAAAGTACTTCTAAGTTTGCAACAACCACTCTCTTTCCCACATTGCACACCCTTCCAGCCAAGAGGTGCTCTGCATCTCTGGGAAGCATGCAGGAAATCTCAGGATTGAGTCCAGAATGTAGGCAAAGTACTCTGTCTGCAATTATTGCGGGGGCTGTGGTGTGGTGAGCTGGTAGAGGGTACCACAGCCCTCTGACTCCTGTTGATGATGGCCTTTACTCACATACATCTTCCCTGCTGCAGATGGAGCAGAGGCTCTTAGGACTGAGATTCCAATGCCAGCAATGCTCATTAATGCACCCAAGATGGGACCACCCTGGCAACATCTCACTTGTTGATGCACTCAGAGTATTCATGAACATTTGCCCCTCTTCCAGGAAGATGAGCGCTGTGGCAAGTCCGATTATCATCAGGATGAAGTTTTCCTGATCACAACAAACGTGATGGGCTGGTGGCTGTTTGCAAGCTACGCCTGCAGAAGCGAATGGATCTGTGAGTGTTTGCTTTTCAGCTGCTGCTGGGAAACAGGCACCCTCCTGCCAGGTCACAGACCAGCTAGGTTACAGACCTCTTAAAGCAGAGGTGGATGCTCAGCCTGTGCTGAAATAGCTGCCCAGTACACAGAAGTTGCTATGGCAGTGCTTTGCAAATATACATTACAGAGCGGAGCGGTGACGACTCTTGCTCTGTGTCTCGCACAGAAGCTCTGCTCCCACCCTGGGAACCATGGAGCAGAACAAACACCAGAATATAATATCTATCCATATATATCTCTGCTATTGTCAGATTGCATCTGACTGTGAAACTGGGCTTAAAGCACCTGGGTAACAATTTACATATTATGTCAACAACAGCATCTTTCCCCCTGCAGTGCAGAGTGAGCTGACTCCAGAGCATCCTTCGCAGCAAAACGTGTCTCGGCTGCATCCTTTTGTCTCCATGAAACTCCTTTAATTCTGGTACTTTAACACCTACTCCTGCCTCTGCTGCTGGTGCCATTGCAAACCAGGAATGTGGCTGGGGAACACCATCTCCTTGGAAACCCGCCCCTGGCCTAAGAAAGTCCTTTTGGGTGCCTGTGCAGCACTGGAAAGCCAGAGGACTCATGGGTTGAGCACCTTTCATGGCTGGGCTGCTTTCACATGGAGTGAAATCAGCCTAGATCAGATCTGGAATCCCTCAGTTAACAGATAAATAAACTGGGCAATTGCATCTGCATCATTTAAGGGGAAAAAATAAGAATATTGGCCTGAGTGCACCAGGCTGCTGTGAGGAACCTGAGAGCAGTGTGCTTCCCTTGGTGCAGAGGGAAGGCTGGGGATGGGAGATCTCTGATGGTGTGGATGGGAGCAGCACAAGGGCCCAGCTCTCCATTAGCCTGCAGATTTCCAAATAACTGTAAACAACGCTGACTTCAAGTCTGCTGCCAGAGCCTCAGGCTCCGTAAGAAACAACCCTATCTTATTTATTGCCTGAGGATATTATTATTTCCAGAGTGAACTAGTTGTGGATCACAATACTGGACAGAATTATAGTACAATGTGTGCTTTAGTGCAAACTTACTTATGAAATAGTCGCAAATCTTTGGACAAAAATGGGCACAAAGCCCCAACTTTTTTTTTTTTTTTTGGTAGAAAAGTGCAGCAAATTGCTGCATCATCTTTACCTTGGGACTGGTCTGGACAGGGCTGGCTCTCGTGTGACAGCACAGTCTAGCTGCACCTCGCTGCCAAGGCCCTGGGGAGGTCACACAGAGCCAAGGAGCAGCCCAGAGGGGCTGTGCCAGCACAGGGAGGCTGTGTGCATCAGAAGCTCCTCACTACTACATCTGAAAGGAGACACAAAATGATGCCACTGAAGGCTCAGCTCCGTACCTCTAATGTGAAATTTCTATGGACAATCCTAAGATTTAGTTTTAATGAAGAAGCAATTCATATATACCCATACTGTGTTCAGCACACTTTCCCTTAAAAGACTGCTGCCTTCTTCTGCATCATCAAAAGCTGGATATGAAAATGTTTTGTGCCAGGAAATGTGGTAGAGCACAGAGTTCAGTCACTATACACTGGTCAACACTATATTCCTCACTAAACGGATGCCATAGGTGATTAATAAGAATGAAGCTCAGAGCTTATAATTAGTTACTTCATGTAAGGCCTTTAAATAAATATGTAAGTGGAGATATTTATGTGTTTTTAATACTAGTTCAAGTGTGAACTGATTTGGTCTTTGGTCTTTCTGTTTTTGTGAATTATCCTGCAGTAGCAGCTTTATTTTTTAAAAAAAGTATTTTTAATTTAAATGAAAATTTAATTTTAAATTGTTCTAGGCAAGTGCTACACTAAATATAGTGAGCATATACAGTATATAAAAGCAAGGCAGGAAAAAGGATAATCAAAATAGATGAAATAATTTTGTAAACAACATGTATTGCATGTCTATTCGGTGCAACTGTCATCCTTGTCCTGTCAGATCTGTGGGGAGACAGCCACATACTTAAACACAACTTGGTCAAGTTAGTTGGTGAGTTTACTCCTATTCAGAGCAGGTCTGGGCTTTAATTCAGGGCTTGGGGGGTTTATTTTCAATGAACACTGAAAGGTGCAAGTGCTTTGAACAGCTGTACCCTAGCACGATCTTTCTACAGTCACCTTGAACCAGCACTTTGAAACAAGCCCTGCTATTAATTTGAACAGGAGCTTAGCCAGGCACCTGTGAAGAAAAAGGCATTCTCTGTTTCTGCCTGTTGCAAATTCTTCTACAGTTTGGCTTGTCTAAGCTAAGCCTGTAGACCTGAGCCCCGTCCTGGAATTACTTAGCCCAGTTCTAGGTTACAATGGCACTTTTCTGTTGGGCTTCTTCTTTCTTTATCTGCTTGGTTTTGGTGTCTGTCCACACAATGAAAGTGCTTAGCTGCAGGGAGAAGCTTCAGAGCTCCCTGGGTATGACGGTGAAGGGAATGACAGGACTGCTGGATTCCAGGTCCAGGGCAGTAAGGAAACATTCGATGGCTGCTTCGTTTTTCCCCTGAGCTTGCAGGACCTCTCCAAGGCTGTTCCAGGCGATGTGGCTGGTGCTCTGGATCCTGATGGCATCTCTGAGCACTTTCTGGGCCAGCTCCCTCCGCCCAAGTCTGCTCAGCACCAGGCCCTGTCAAAAACAAGGGATGAGCAGTTAACAACAGGGCAGGAGAGAGGAAGGAATGGAGCACTCCAAGCTCCCACCAAGCTGCCCCATGAGTGCAGGCACAGGAGTCCTATGGAGGGGGCATCTCCACCTATGTCTAAGAATAAAAGTAAGCAGTTGTTAAGTTCTGTGGTTTTTTTATAGGGATGCACACTTTAAAAAATAATTGTGAAAATAAAGTGCTCCTGCTGTGTGTTAGTGGGAGAGTGTTCACTGGTGCTGTACAGAAGAAAGGTTACAGGCCCTTTAAACATCCCTCCCTCCTTGCCCAGAAAATATACACAGGTTTGTCTACAGCCAGCATCTGAATTCATTCCTGCACATCTGCAACACCCAGCTGAGGCTGAGCTGAAGTCTCTCATCTCCTACATCCTGACCACACGGGGATCTTTCTTCTCAACAACAGGGGGCAGAGGGATGTGGTCTCCTTCCAGCCTTCTATGGGCAGGCTGTATGTAACAGCAGGGGATGTAACAGCTCTGTCCCCCTGCACTTCAATGTAGATCCTAGAGCAGCGTGGGGGAGGAGAAGGATGGAGGAACCTTGTTTAAAAAGCTGTCCTTAGGGTAAGAAAAGACACAAGTGGGTGTAACCATCTGGAAGGAACGGGAGGGGGAGGATGAAAGAAGTGTTAGGAAGAACATGTTTTCCTATAGGGCTCTCATGGATGTGTCTGAACCCACAAAGCACCTAATGAGCCAGGCTCCCTGTTAATTACACAGCATCAACCAGCCCAGATGGTCACACGGGCTTTGCAGGCCACAGCGGATCTGTGGTGTTTCTCTGCTTCCTCCTGAAGGTGCACACAACCAGGATGAGCCTTCCACCAGTTTCATCCAGGTGTGGCCTCTGGAAGAAGCAGCCAGCACTGCCATGTCACCTGCCAAGCTCTGCATGGCCTCTGGCCACATTCACCCATGGAAATGCTGGCAGGTGAGATGACTGCCTGACTTCATGCTTTTCCTGGGACAACCTAGTAGGTGGATGCATATATATATATGAGGAAAAGCATTAGCTTAATTTTTAATCTAATTGCCTTTAGTGCATATGAAAGGATGTAACAAACCTGAAATCTCTCACTACTAGAAGCCAAGGAAATTTCTGATGAAAGAATGGTGATGCTTGCAGAAATAGTGAAGATTTTTCCTCTGGTTTGTTTTGTTTGCTTTTACAAAAGTACCATTAAACACAGAGTGCATCAGCATCCTTAAGGCCAGTGATAGTACTAATACCTACAGAAACACATTCATTTGCCTAAGAGAAAAATTAAGAAACAGCCATTTAATCAAATATTGGCGGTGCTATGAAAAACTTCACTGCCTCCTTCTTGCCCATAACCTTGACCTGCATAATCAACTCAGTATCAGATCTGATTGTTTAGAGATGCAGTGGGGGTGTTTTTTTCTTTAGGTTCCTCTCTGTGTAGGAAAACGACAAGGCAACTAATGTTATGATCCCCCTGAGAGCAGGCATAGGTGGCACAGGGGTTCCCTGGTGGCAGAGGCTGGTTCCCCTGGAGGAGCTGCCTGGAGATAACTGCAGGCACGTAATGCCAGACTGGAAGGAATTTGTGCAATTATAATTTGAGTCACCCTCTTGACAGGGATAATGAGGCATAGAAAGGGCAAGTAGTGTGGCCACAGCAAATCTGCTGCTGAGCCAAGAATAGGCAGGAGCTATCTTAGCTCAAAGTTTGTCCTCGACCACAAACCCACTCTTCCTAAAATCTCTTCCTGTTGTGCTGATGGAGCAGAGGCGATTGTGCTCTCTGGTGGCAGGGGAGGCAGCGCTGTCCTCACCCTGACACTCAGCAGCATCAAGCCTCTCAGTGCTCTCAGAGGGCTGCTGTGGCCCTGCAGGCTCAGGGGCCAGCAGCCCATGCAGCTGCTGCCTGTCATCCCTCTCCAACGAGGAGGGAATTCCCTGCCTGGCTGACATCTCGCGCCTCTCAACAATGCTGCAGTGAAATCCACCTCATCGGAAACTGCTCGTGCAGCACAGCTCCCTTGCATGCCCCAGCATCCTTGCTGGGCAAGAACCACAGCCTGGTGTGCCTTCCCTGCCCTGGCTTCCCAGTGTTTGCTGTGCCTGTGCTGGAGCCCCAGGAGGAGTGCTGTGCCCACCAGGGGCAGATACCCACCAGGAAGCGCAGCTCACGTGAAAATCTCCTCTTTGGTATTCACTGCTTTCAAGCTTGCCAGTTTGGCTGAGAAAACATCTGTGAATCCACAGAGAGAGCTATTCCAGGCTCCTCAAAGCCAGGGGAAGCCATCCTGTTGATGCTACAATACACTGCACAAGTGAAAAACTGCTGTGTTTTTGGAGGAAACATTTGCTCAAGCAGTTTGCTTACATGCACAGCTGTTGGTGCCAAGTGCTGCCCAGGTCTGTGGCCCTTCCCAGGCATGTCACCATCCTGCTTCCCCCTTCTGATGAGGAACAGCCCCATGCCCTCTTCCTGCATGCATGCCTGGACTTCTACGCAGCGTGGGCACGTGGCACTGGGCTCCAGGCTCAGCCCAAGTGAAGGTTTTGGGGTTTGGCCAGCCCAGGTCTGCCAACACTCCCCAGCCCCAGCGCAGACCTCCCCCTTTGCCCAGAGTGAGCTGTGACAGATGGTGTCAGCCCTTTAGTAAGGCTTAACTGAAGCGGCACAAATATGCTGCTGATGTTTAAAGGACAGGTTGAACATCATTAATTCTGTGTGCAGGAGAGTTTCTGGTTTTGCATTTCCTCTCTCCCCTCCTCCCCACATGGCTCCTTGCAAACCACAAGCATTTTGAGAGCTGGAGGCTGAACGAACCTCAAGCCTCAGGAAGACGTAGCTCTGAGCACTTGAGTTTTTGTTTCTCTGAGGTATTTGCACTTGAGAGTTTCTCCTTGCTACTGAATTTCTCATTTCCCCATGGAGTCTGGCTTGCTATAAACAATGCCTGCATGTTGTTGCTATGTAGGTCCAGCTGGAATCTGCCTACAGTGCAAAAGAAAAAAAATTATATCTAAATTCAGAAAGCCACCCACTGACAGGCAATTTGCATTTTTATCTGGAAGATTTTTTTTTTAAAGATTTTTCTAATGAAAGTTCAGCTCCTGAGTTTCTATGGAAACTCATCTGCTTGGTGTGCATGCATAATTTCATAAAGTCAGGTCTCAGGAAGAGGAGCAATTAGTATAAATACAAGCAGGAATGTGATTAAGGGTTTCATCCTCTTATTCCTGAAAATGGAGGGTGGGACTGGGTTTTGTTGTCTTTCCTCAGTTTCTATTTGTCTTTTTGCCAAAACAATGCAGAAACTGGTGTACAAGGTAGCCTGACTCCTCTGCCACCTCCTGGCTAGCACTGGCACTTCTGGTTTTGCCCAGTGATTTTCCTCCCAAAGATGACAAGTACCTCTAAGTATGGCCCTCTCTGTCAGTGGTGTTGCTACTCAGCCTCTAAGGAGCAATGAGGACAGGCTTATTTTTAAAAGTCAAGCGTATTATAAATAGTAAAAAAAAAAAAAAAAAAAAAAAAAAATCCCAAACCAACTCAAAAGGTGAGTGGGAATCATTTTTCCTTCAAACTCCTGTGGGCAGCCCAGCCCTTGTCAGGCACACACAGGCATTTCACATCCTGCACCAACACAGCTGCGGAGCGCTGGGTGTAAATTCACTCACTCATTCACTCACTCGAGAAGGTCTGAGGTTAACCTCTGCAAATGAATTTGGTTTTTTCTTCAGGTCTGAAGATGCACCTTGGCTGTTGCAAACAAGGCAGAGTGTGAAAGACGGCACTGAGAGCTGTGGCAGAAGCTCAGCTGAGGTGAAGGGCTGGCACAGCGACACCGGGACAGCCCAGCAGGGTACGAAGGCTGAGAGGGGTCAGCGAATCTGCTCTGCTGATTTAGTGTGCCTTATGCTGACAGCTGGACTTCTGAATTGATGGTTTTTAATTTCAGGGAACAGAGGGTGCCTATGGGAAGCTTTTTCAAAAGTATTTTTGACCTCGTCTGCATGCAAAACAAACAAAACTTAAACCACTTCTATGGTGACACTGGACTGAACTCCCTTGCCTTCAGTGATGTGATACTCAGTAACTGATACTTGTGTGAGGCTATTTTTGTTTTAGAATAGGAGAGCCATATTTCAATTTAAATTAGATGAGAAAAAAAAAAAGACTTATTTTCAATTTTTACTAATAAAGAATGTGAACATAAACTACCCGTGAAGTCCCACTTTTAGAAGGTCATGAAATTTCTACCTGTGCCTTTATTTCCTTAGAGTCTGACAAAACCTCTTCAACTGTTAGCTCATAAAGTTCCCAGAAAACAGTGCAGGAAAGACATTATGGAAGACTACAAAATAAGCCTCATGTACAAGCTGGGGATTATTTTTAGTAATGAAAATCAAAACTTCCTTTGCAAATGTTTAGTTCAAACACCTGATGAGCTGCAGGGAGTTCTCTCTTTCCAAATAGGTGGCACAGATTAGCTTGTTCTTTCCTTTAGGGCTTGTATTGGAAAGACATGTAGAGAAAAAAATTTAATTTCATTCCTGGAAGGTGCTTTTTATTGTATTTGCAAGGTCATCTCATTTTTGGAGAATGCATATAGGTGGACTAAACTCTATCCTTTACAAATGGATTTTAATAATCACAGTAAATGCAAATTCTCACTGTCTTTGCATAAGACTCTAATTACAAAGTGAGGTTGTCTCTGATGCTTGTCTCTATTTAGCAGAGCATTTCTGCCTACTATTGTCTGAATGCCCCAAGAAGTTTCCAGAATTAATCAGACCTTGCTGCTGGGCTTCCTTAAGTGCATTATTTAATTAATTTCAAGGTAAATGCAGTATCCTTACTGTTTACTCCAATCTGTAGTGTGGACATGTCACTTGTGGTTAGTAGGAGGGTAATCAGCAGCTGGCAAAAGCAGGGCATGCTGCAGAAAAGTGATTGTTCAGAAGTGTGCTTATTCAGCAGAACC